GTCCATAATATGAGAGAATACAAAGTACCATAATTTCTATCTAATTTTACTCATTTTCGTTTGCAGAACTTACGAATTTGATGATGACTGATCGTTGGATTGATAATATAATGAATCTTGTTCCAATAAACATACGGTGTAAAATACAACGTATTTGTCCAAGTTTTAACCGTGTCATTCGCGCCCGATAGATGGCGCCACTTGAAATATTCTGATATTTGCCGCGCTATCAAATAGCCATCGGCGCAGGTATGTATATACACCAGGGAGCTATAATAGTTGTATTTTACTGTGTTGAGAAAGAAATATGAAGATATATATATGCATAATATAAAACAAAGCAGTATTTTTCTGTATTTTTTGCTGTTGTTTCATCGCGATAATTTCAGAAAGTACGACACTGATAGATATCCCTTTACTTTTAATTGGAAGACGAAGTGAAATTGTATTATTCAGTAAGGTTTTTTATGGTCGCTTATAAGAAAAAAAAACATATAATTAAGAGGTAATTTCAGTATTCAATAAACATGATTTCATTTATTAAACGAGTAATGTTATAATAATGAATTAAATAATAAAAATATTTTTTTTTCTAGTTAGTATAGATACTTTTATCCTCTAAATTAAGTGAACTAACAAAACAATATTAATTTTACAATATTTGAGATCATAATTATAGAGAAAACTTAATTCGGTGTCAATGTACATCCAACTGCTACAATTTCTCTCTTTTATAAATAATTAAGGATAAAAACGATCGAGGAAAAACATTGTGTGGTAAGTTGCTATCTATATTACCAGTCCAGCTTATTGTAAAAGACTTGCCGAGTGTAACCTTCTAAGTTATATGGCCAATAAATTATTTGATTTGATTTGATCAGTCTCTCATAGTAAGGACGAAGGGTAAGTAATATCTTTATAATGCTCAACGCAGTCTTGAAGAATTGACTAGTTTGAATCATACTTCGCTTGTCTCTATCCACTAAGATTTAAAAACAAACAAAAAAAGACTTCAAATTATGATTTTCAACATATTGATCTTTGGAATAAAACAAGAAATCACTTAAAAAATTGAAATGTAAAATTGAAACATTTATTTGTAAAGGACTTATTGTCCTGTTGGCACGATTTTATGTACATTTACAACTTAACCCTGGTTACTTTTAATATGGCCGCACACATCCGTTTTCTGTGTCCAGTGTCCTGATCAGGAGTTCCGATTCTTTAAACAGGAAACCGAATATATATGGCCAAATCTACACCTAAACGGCACGGTTCCTACCCAGTAGTTAATTTGTCATTTCAATTTGCCCATTCAATTGCATGTCAAATGATACATTTAATACCGTCAATATAAAAAACGACAGCTGCCATTACCATTTTTTATATCGACGTTATGAAATACATTGTTTGATATACGATTTAATGCTTAAGGCAAATGAATCGCCGTTTTGGAGCCGTGCCGTGGATGTGTGCCTTTGAACTTAATACAATAACTGAACTTAGCCTAACCCCTGCACTCTTTATAGGCTGCACATTGTACAAGTTACTGTGACGATTGACGACTTTTCTAAGAACTGATCCAAAATCTGAATGGTTGGTAGTAACAAATTATTGTACAAAAGAGTTGTATTACGCTACAAAATAGAATCATTTTTAATTTGTTGAATTAAAAGAGAAGTCTTTAAAATCGTTGCTTACTAACAGAATAGAGCAATTGACAAAACAATCACCATAGAATTTAATAATTTAATAATGGTATATTGGTCTGTGTCGAATAGTGGTGTGTATTGATGAACTGGCGTTTCACATTGTGTAGAAGTGGCAAAATCTTAAAATGACGAGAAGGATTTTTTCTCATCAGACTACAAAACTTAATTCTTTCGATCATTGTGTATAAATTGCTAAATCGTCACGACTTGTCCAAGCGAGCCTTCAATCATATTAAGCGAGGTATGTTTCAAGTGCGTTCTTCAAGCTGTGTCTGATATCTATTTAATTAGACTACAGTTCGGACTCTAAACATACATCTCCTGAGCAGTCAACTTGGTACCCGTCCGGTGGCACACGTACTTGGGGAGGGGCGTACACTTCGAATTCCAGCTCTGTGAAAAGAAAAACGAATATTAGTATATACAATATCCTAACATCTTCTATATCTTCTGGGTAGATCACTCGCCGGAGAACTGAGCGTTATAAGGTACCATTTTCAGATATTTTTTTTACTATCTCGACATGTTTCATAGCTCTTTTTATATACGCTTTTTGGTTTTCAAAGCATAGACATTACTTCAATTTCACACACTCAAACACTCGATCAATTTGATCGTGGGATAATGCCGTATTTCTTATTATTTAATGGAGAAACGATCACCTTGGCAATAAAAAAAAATTCAAAGAAATTATATCAGAAACATGGATCTGTAGTATTTTTTTGCTTTTATGTTCAATAGTTTGTCAAGCGGTTGTTAGGAGTGAGTGCAAAGTGTTAAAAAGTGCATACCCCTAGCTGAATTATCAAGCGTATTAGTCAAACAATTAAGTACGATATGTTAGCCACCCAACTGCAATAGTCAAAATCAGTGTTTGAAAAGTAAGGATAAAGCCTGTATTAGTTTATGTGAATCCAAGGTAGTGCAAGTTAGTAAAGCGAAACAGTTGAAACTGGTGAAAATATTTTTTTTTTTTACATCTACCCTGCGATACTGTAAAAATCTGAAATCGAATTCAAATTTACTTCAAAAGCGGCATCAACTCATACTTGAATTGGTGATAACGTTTCGGGGCATAGTTGAAATGAGTTTCGAAATTAGGAATAGAATATCTGAAGCACATATGTATCAAACCATCTTGTTTTGAATTTTATACAAAAATAGAATTAAGAGAATTTCTACACAAAATGCCGTGAATTCGGGTTTGGATTTTTACTGAATCGCTCTGCAAATTTTGATTTTTACTCCTTATTTTCTAAGATGTCTGGTGGAAGCAAAGCCAATTATTTCTTTAAAAGCCCAGCAATTATATGGTATCGTTAACCGATATAACACTGATATTTCTGTGACTAGGTAAAATATTTGTTTTCTGTGTGTGATGTTTGTTGTATATTAACAAGACATTTTCTTATGTAAATCTTATAAAATCAAAAGTAAGTGTATTATGTAACAGTTACGCATGTTTGACCTAAAATTTTGATCTACTTAGCATTTCTATGTAAGTTAATATAAGGGAAACTGCTTAGTCCGTAATCAACAATCGGGGTGAGGATGGTACGGAGCGTAGCTGTGCAGTGAATTGAATCTGCACCCGCGGAACATTTAGCCTTATCTATTGGTGTGTAAGGGCGAACGTCCACTATGTACGCACGCACGCCATAGACATACGGTAAGCTATGGATTTCCCATAGCTTTATGTGAACTTGTATAGCACTATGTCCGCTATCCGTACCGGCTGTATCTACAGCATGCCATGGACGAGGAATGCGATTATGTACTTCCGTAGGGCAACTCTACATTATTAAAATATCTTCTATAAAAAATCCGGATCCAGATCCGGTGCGTGTGTGCATACAACCGTAATGGTTACCAATTTGTTATAGTGTGTTTTCGGCAATATGTAGGAGTAATATCCATGTTATATCGGTTTATGAAAAGCGCAAACGCCAGTGAGTGTATCGTTTGGCACCAACACTCCGTCTCACATTTTGACATGACGCATGTTGGTGGACGTTGATGGTCGTTGCCGCTGGACGCTCGTCGCGTGTCACGTCCGGCTCCCGGTGGAATAAACCTTCAATTTGTTGGTACTGTTAACACTTGCAACTGTACTTTCATAAAATATACTAGTGACATTGTAAATGTTGAATGTCAACTAATGATAGATAGTTGTAAACAAATATTAAAAAAAAAAAAATGTCATTATTTATTTTCTATTTTGATTAATTCATTTTATACATACTTAGAGCTATCCTAAAAGTAATGACTCATAAACATATCCGACATCCTACTAAAATGTTATATTCTGAATGTCAGGTTTTAACCGTCCGGCAACTCTTTATTTTGCGCTGTATTTTGCGGAGACACAATGTTCTCCCCTTAGATTTTAATACCTTCTCGCGTAGACGCGCTTCTGCTCAAGTATACCGTTCAATACCTTGTAAAACTACTTTCGCTAAACGTCAATTTGACGCACTCTCCACGGTATTATATAATAAATTGCACAAGTTCACATCCATTTACTGCCTGAACAGGTATGAAGCGAAAAACAAAATTACCAGCTACCTTCTGAAACTCACCTATACAGAAACAGAAAACCTCTTGAATTGAAAGGTAAAAGTGGTTGAATATTAAATATTTATAATAATAAAAACATTTCATGCCATTAATCTATTTAAATATTTAATTCTCTAAATAATATTCACGCACATTGGTACTCACTCAACTTTAGCATAATTAAAAAAAAAAAAAATCTAATCACAGGCTTACCCACGCACACACCACTCACCTAACCACACACACCCACATACACACACCCACACTTACACACACACACAAACACACGCACGCACGCACATACACACACACACATTTCTAAAGTTCTTAAGACTTTACCTTGCCTATGTTAAGTTTTTCAGCGTCATCACATTCCCTTATAAACAACCTACCGAGGAATCGCTGGCCCTGATAATACAGATTCTCTAGTTTCGGGGTCAGAGATCTAAGACTTAAAGCAATATGTAATATTAACACAATATGTAATAATACATATGTAATATGTAATACAATAGGTAATAATAAATAATTTTTGATTTGATTTTGATTTTGATATTTTATTGTAATTTAGTAACGTATGTATACTATTTCAACATACAACACTTAATAAAAATGACTTAATTTATATTTAATTTAACTTCATTACTACTAGGTAAATAATGTCACGGCCGGATTTACAATAAACGCAATGTCAAATCAATATAAAAATTATGGTAAAGTATTTAAAAATAGTTAATTACCCTCCTGCCGCTGTCTGTCTGCTTCTACAGAACTTCCTGGCTTCCGCCAAAGAAGTCTGCAACACAGACAGAATCCAATGCAGGCAGCGAGCACGGCAGCGGCGGAGGAGGTCACGAACACGAGGAATCCCCAGGAGAAGCCAGATTTCGAGTTAAGAACGGGAGCTGCAAAGAGAATTTTACCTTTAGACTGCTTTCACATATAGGTATTTTATTTGCGCTATTGTAGCGCTTTTGAGTTGGGCTATTTTATATTTAGTGTTGATCGCACAAAGAAGCTTCGAAGTCGTCCTATCCTTCGATATCTGGGAGAAGAAGGCCACGTAATAATTGCGTCACTCCTTGGCGAGATATAATGAATTTAGATTGCGAAAAAATTTTGGGCATCATAGTGAAAGGATATAGTGTAGTCTTTGGTGGGTAGAACTCTATGTATTTACAAGGTGAGCTTGGATAGCCTGATGCAGAGAGTAGTTCTACACAACTCCGCGCACACGTTTTTATAGCTAATAGTTATCGATGCTACGTTGCTTTAGTTATGGTTATTGCTCTATCATCAACACAATTTTACGAACATGTGTTCTGAAATGTTAGAAATGCTGACAAAGTAGGTAACGAGAAATGAGGTGGTGCTATATACGCATTATAGTGATGACCATAAGTATGTAGTGCTATCTGGTTTCTAAAGGTCTAATTATTTCCGGCTTGTCGGATTTCTGACGATAGATACAGGCTTTTAACAAAAGAGAACTTACAAGAATCAGAAGAAGAGCTTATGGAGTTAAGGTCAATTGTGGATTCCCGACTCTTCCCCCTGACGTTGCTTGAGTATATTGAGGCGGTGACGTTCTGGTGGTCCATGGAAGGGATTGAGAAGTTGCCGCATGGATCTGACGCGTTATGAACCACAACACCCTCGGGAGTGAGGACCTCAAGGTGAACAGTTTGAGTGCGACCACCGTCCCAGCCTAATCGTCAAATTTTCACTTTGATTTGTTGGATATCTATACGCTCAGCATAAAAAATCATCGAGTAAGAATCGAAGTTGTACCGAGCACATATGTAAAATTCTCGTGTTGGAATTCTTAAGAGTTGCAAATACCTTGGTGGCGCTAATTTCGCATTAGTGCTCGATACGAATTTGATTGTAACTCAATAATGGTTATGCTAAGCTCTCTGATTATCTCATCATTGTACAACGGTATTGTTTGATAAGCGTGCCCAATTTTTTTACATTTTTACTTTCATATTTTTTTGTGTATAGATAAAATAAATGACACTATTTGGGGGTGCGTAGTTATGTGTTTTTATTTGCTTAGCAGTGTTTAATTATTAAAAACGCAAAGGTGAGTTTTTTGCTAAGCGGTATGCACGTATGGGTTGTGATATGATGACGTTTACATTATCATGTACTGTTAGTAAAGTGTCTTTGTGAAGAAATTCTGTAAAGTTTACAGAAAAGAGATTAAGTCAAAACAAAGAAAGGATGCTAATACAACTGAGCATTCATTCAGAGTTCTCTAAGAAAGAAATGATGTTTCAAAAGCCCATTGACATATAATGTGTCTACCTTTAATAGTTTCAAAAATGCAAAGTATTCAAATACTAGAAGCGTTATCTCTATACTCAAGATTTTATATGGATTATTGCAGTTAATTATAGAGATGTCTCGACAATCGAAACGAATGAAACTCGTAATATTGTGAGATTATTATAAAGAGGTTTGCTGAGCACATATGATGTCAAAGACATTTGGAACGTCAAATTGTTAGGACAGATGTGAAATATTACAAGATTTTATATCACTAAAATTCGCCTCCAATGTCGGCATATTTGCTAGAATATTTTATAGAATACTTAAGTTCATCAAGCACCTTCAAACATAAAATATAACCGAGTAATATCACATTTGTAGAAATAATATGAGGAGTAAGCTTCGAACGAATCACACATATTCATTCGCATTGCATTCATATCATTCGCAAAGCAGGTAGCACACTACATATATAACACAATCATGTTGATGCGAAGGCCACATGCATTTAAAACTTCAATCACGACTTTTACAAAGGAGTAAGCATCAAGAAAATCTAAAACTGGAGACTTATTCTGTTATTCTTGCTATGAACTTTGAAATTCTGATTATTTCTAATTTTTTTCTTAAATACACGTGTACGTTCGCGTTAATTGAACGTCATAAAAACGAGTTGTGATCGAAGAATTAATACATAATAACAAATAGAAGCATGAATAATTAAATACTGAAGATTTATAATTTTAAACCTTTCTGACAGACAATATTCTTTTTATCATCAGATTCCTTGAGGTCGCAGTTTGGAGGTTGCGGTGTTCCCCCGGGTGTAAGGGTGTAAGCACACGGTAATCGCTGTTCGCCATACATGTTTACCGCTCGGCAATATAGTAAGCCTAAGTCCTCGTTTTGTGGTATCCAAGTGAGAGTTGAACAAAATTGATTCTTTCTTCCTTTCACTCTCTGAAAATTGTTCATAAGATGTAAGTAATTCTGTACATCAAACGTTTGGATATGTAAATTATTAACCAGTTAGAAAAAAAATTACATTGTTCCTTCGTGTTAGTTGTATTTTTTTACTGTTGACTGATGGCGCCTAATTGGTTATTAGTTTTTAATAAAATACTAATCACGTTTTTTAACACAACAATATGGATATAACATATAGTTTACTTTCTCGTAATATTTTAAATTATTCATGTTTACATTATATTTGTCTGTACTAAACACTGGTTTATCTATTTAGAATTATTATACAATAAAGATAATAAAAATACAAACTATCTTAATTAAACCAAGTCCATAGATTTATATTATTTTGGTACTTTTAACATAATTATCAACGTAAAAAAATCATATTTTAATTCTAACGCCATCTGTTGAAAAATAATAAAACGTGCTCTCACAAACGCAGAGACGTAAAAGTTATTTAATTTTCACATTATTAATATAACGTGTTATGGAGCTAGATACAATTCAATGGGACTTACTGTTGCGCTAGTGTACAATATTCTAGAATCGGGGAATACCCAACTGAATTGAACTGGCGCGGGCGCACTTTCCACAAGGCACATGATCGTCTCCGCTTCACCATTCACGATACCAACAGTTTGTTGTTTTGTGAACAAACACCGTGGACGATCTGATGCGACAGTGGGAAAAATGTGAATGTGATTAAGAGGACACCAATACCCAAAATTCTCCTTTTAAATGATTTAGAATAAAGAAATAAAGTCTTTAAAACCTACATGTCTCTTACATTTTCACGCGTACTACTTATTCAATGAAACAATTCTACAGCGTGTATTTTTGAAAAATCATTACGTTCTTAGTTCCGTATTTGCTACACTAAGATACGTCGTTTAATAACTAAAAAAAATATATATAATGTGTTCAATATAAGTATTGTCAAAGATGGCCAACGTCTTACTCTAATAAACATTGTATAAAAATATGAAAATCCAAAGTGTAAGGGATTACTTCGAAAGTTGAAATCGTAGCGTTGCATAAGATGTGGCCAGCCTAATGCTGATTAATAATCATAATTTAATAAGGAAGTATTTAAATAAAACATTAGTTCCCGAAATCAACCTAGATGTCGCTACAGTACGTTCTTGATTTCTCCATGACGACCCTTCCAGTTTTCTTTTATGTTCAAAAGTAAAGTAGTTTTCAAAACTCAATAAACAATTCTTATTCTTTTTGTACTTTTTCGTATTTGTATTGATATCTAAGTTTCGAACTTTTCAAATTTCAGTTTTTTAATATGTTAGCTAAAAGGAACGGAAAATACTGTCTTCGGTTCATTCGTTTCCTGCAAAAATCAACTTGCTAGAGTCGCCATCTAGTGGAGGTGCTTTTTCAGTGCTTTCATTTTTTTAATACTTCCTCATTCAATATAAATGTATAAGGGTTTACAAGTGACAAAATCTCTATCGATATTCAGTAAAAGAAAATTGTCATAATACGAGGGGTGTTCAAAAAATAGTGAGAATGATGTAGTAACTTGAAAAAAAAAAATTATGGTCACGGAAAGATTACGTATTTGTTATAATATCCTCAAATAATTAGGTTTCTTATTTCTTGTCTGTTTCAGTTGTATTATTTATTTGTGACGCGTCGTTAACTCTCGCAAAAAATTGATAAAATTGAAATCCGTGCAGTAATAATACTTTTGCTTGAAAAATTTTACGACGGAATAAATTTTTAAAGACTTATGTGAGACATTGGGGAGTCTGCTCCTCCATATTCCACAGTGGCTTGGTGGTGAGCATAGTTTAAACGTGGTAGAACATCGGTTAAAGATGACCCGCGCTCGGGCCGCTCATCAATGTCAGTCACTCAGGAAATGGTCGAGAAAGTTGAAACAATTGTTCTGGATGATCGCCATGTAACTGTCCGTTTTATAGCTGAAGAGTTCAAAGTCAAAGTCAAAGTCAAACTATTTATTTGCTAAGAATAGGTATTACAAGATCTTAAAAACTATTACTATCGCTATTCAGTTAATAATAATTAACAAGCAAAATTATCTGTTTTAAGGAATGTGTTTATATTAAAATAACATTTTTTCACGAGCCATTCTCGCAGTCTTTTTGTCATTAAGCTCTCAGATCCATTCTTATATTGTTCAGGAATCTTATTATAAACCTTGACGCACATGCAATAACAACTTTTTTGACTTAATGAAGTCTTTGGTTTGTATTCCAAAACAAGTCTGTCACTATCTCTAGTGTTTCTAGGGTACATGTCCTTGGCTCTTTTAAATAAATCGGGGTGTTGCTTTACAAATTTAAAAATTTCTAAAATGTACATACTGGGCAGGGTTAATACACCCAATTTTTGAAACAGTGGTTTACATGTATCAAATGGACCTTTACCACATATAGCTCTTATGCATTTCTTTTGGGAAATAAACACTTTATTTGCATCTGTACTATTGCCCCACAGAAGGAGTCCATAAGATATATTTGATGCGACATAACCATAATAAGCAGACAATGCCACCTTAAGAGACACTTTTAAAGTTAACCGTCTTAGCACATAAACGTACCTATTTATTTTATTACAGACCCTCTGAACATGGGTAGTGAAGTTCGGGTTTTCATTTAATAATATTCCCAAAAATGTCACACTGTCAGATCTTTCAATGATTCTGTCGTTATGCTTCACATTGAGATTATAAGCTAAGCGTCCTTTTATCTTAAAATTAACATAATTAGTTTTACATAAATTAACATTCAAATTATGGGCATTAAGATATTGAATTATATTATTGATTGTTTCATTAATGTCATTTTCATAATACTCTAAGTCGTCAAAAGGATTAGATTTAATAATAATAGAAATATCATCAGCAAACATAAAACATTGGTTCTTAGTCACTTTTGGAAAGTCATTGACATAAAACAAAAACAATATCGGTCCCAGTACGCTCCCCTGTGGTACTCCGAATTTATTAATTTTATAATTTGATCGATCTGCTACAGCCACATATTCATCGTTCACCTGTCTTACTCTATTAACTTCCAAGCATTGACACCTATCATTCAGATATGTTTTCAACCACGACAGACAGTTTCCACGGATTCCATACTTTTCCAGCTTGTCCAATAATACATCATGCACTACAAAATCGAATGCCTTGGACATATCGAAAAACAGCACTGTAGTACGCTCTTTTTTATCTAGAGACGAGATAACATTTTTGACTAAATTAAAGCACGCAAGAGAAGTTGATTTTCCTTTCTGAAAGCCATATTGTTCTGATGTTATTAAGTTGAACTTCGAATAAAAACTCACTAATCTTTTTTTCATAGCCTTCTCGAATATTTTTGATATTACAGGTATTAATGTAACCGGGCGATAGTTCTCCACAGTTTGCTTATCTTTTTTTTTATAGATGGGTTTAACAATCGAGAATTTGAGAGCATCAGGGAAGCACCCGGTTTCGAATGATAAATTTATCAAAAACGTTAAAATATGTGTTAACTCATATTTACAGAATTTTAGAATCTTCGTTGATATTTCATCATATCCGCAAGAATTTGAGTTATTCAAAGACTGTATAATGTTGAGAAGTTCCCCTTCCGTTACCGGCTCCAAAAACATCGATTTAGAGTTGTGATCAACAATGTACAGTGTCTGCTGTTTTTTATCGCTATCATATTTGTAACTATCACCAGCCAAAGTAACGTAATAATCATTGAATATCTCAGCCATCTCCTTACCATCAAGAACAAGATTACCATTATGCTTTATACCAGTACTGTAAGATTTTGGGATTTCCGGTTCTGTTTCATGCCTAATAAGTTTCCATGATGCTTTACAAACATTCTGACTGCATTGAAGATACTTGTCATTACAATTTTTTTGAGCTGTTGATATGCATTTTTTGAGCATACGTGAGTATCGTGTATAAGTTGAAGATTTCATGTGTTAGTGTGCATAGCATTTTGCAAGATCACTTAGGAATGAAAAAGGTATCCGCGCGTTGGGTCCCGAGAATGCTAACGAATGCACAAAAGCAAACGCGACTCAACATTTCAAAGAGTGCATTGGAACTGTTTCAAAGAGATTCTGATCTTTTTTTGGTTCGATTCGTAATAATTTCTGAAACATGGCTTCATCATTATGATCCAGAAACGAAATAACAATCAATTTCCTGGAAAAGACCGACATCTCCCACACGAAAGAAATTCAAAAGTCAACCATCCGCCGGCAAGATCATGGGTTCAGTTTTTTGGGACAGCCAGGGGTTTATAATTATTGAATATTTTGAACATGGAGCCACTATCACAGGCAAGGTCTACTCAGAACAAATAAAAAAATTACTTTAGGAAATCCTTAAAAACCGACGAGGAAAGGTCACGAAAAAAGTTTTGTTCCATCAAGACAACGCGCCGGCCCACAAGTCTGCAGTTGCCATGGCAGCAATCCAAGATGCTGGCTTTGAGATTCTCGATCATCCGCCATATTCAGCGGACAGTGATTTCTTCTAATTTTGCATTTGAAAGAACACTTGAGAGGCACAAAATTTGAAGATGACGAAGAAGTGAAGGCCACCGTAAACGATTTTTTAAGTACTCAAGATGAAGATTTTTTTAAAAGGAAATTTTGGCTCTAGAAAAACGATTTGCTAAATGTTTTGACTCTCACTACTTTTTGAACAACCTTCGTATTATAATTTATTCATTAATATGCTGATACTTGATCTTAATCCACCCATTTAATTGAAATATATAAACAAATACTCACAGCCTACATGTAATGTGACATTGTCTTCGTAAATGGTTGGCAGATAAGCATTGTGTACTCTACATGATAATTGACGCATATTGTCATGTATGGAAGCTGTTAACGTCAACGACGAAACCGTATAGTTGCCATCGTGTAACTCCTAAAAACGATACATTATTGTAAGTTTGTTGTTATTTCGAAAATCGCAATGCAAACAAGATCTAAAACAATTTCATACGATCGTTACCAATTAGGACATTGATTGGATTGTAATTTCTCCAATTGTACTTGTATAAATAAATGTTACCTTATGAGCGGTTGATTTGACCAATGTGCCTCCCAGATACCAATTGATGGTCGGAGTTGGTACGCAACCAATGACCACACAATCTACAACTCTGGGTTGGCCAACTTCGAAGTCAAAGTTATTGTTTAAACGTATTTCAACCTTAAGTGGAGGCACTGTAGGAAAAAATGAGAAAAATCGTCTATAGTTCCAGAAATCCGATTTCCTCGGGAAATATTAGATTGGCGTTTGAAATTGGGAATATTACGCTAAGCTTGTCGTAGATGACAGCCTTACGCTGTGTTAGTAAACAAACAAAAATTTTCGAATAATTTGTCTTTAAGAAAACAAATAAAAAAACTTTTTTACATTCAAATTGCACCAACAGTGAATTATTAGATAAAATTAAACTCTTTTTAATAATAAATTCGAAATTATGAGTTTCCCACTGTGCTCACTATTACTTTACTCGTTGCGTGCATGCAAAGCATGAGGAGCTTCATCTATATGATAAATTTTTGGTCTGGACACCCATCTGACGGCTGACTATTGCGAAACTCCACAATTACAGACGCTATCCACCGCAGCGTTATTAAGCTCATCCATAAACATTTTTTTTTATTTAATGAGACAAAACTCACAATACATTTTAACAACTACAGTGGCTGTGAAGGGTTCAGTGACATCAGCATTGGAGGCGCTGCATTGGTAGTGAGCATCTAGTTCGTCCCTACGCGCCTCCATGATCACCACATGTTCCCTGAGGATGCCCGGAGTTTCGGTCGACACCCTTCTGACTACCGCCCCATTTCGAAGCCATAAAACAGTAGTGGGAGCTTGATCTAAAAGGAGAATGATCAATTTACTATGAGAGTTGGGCTATTTAATTTTAAACGTGTTCTTTGTGAAAATCAACAGTGATTTACAAGGAATCATATTGAGATAAAAAATATTAAAAAATTATGTGGGACTTTTAGGAAATATTAAGAATTAGTAGATATTTTGAGAATATATAATTATAGTTCTAGAGATATATTAATTAATTAATACTTAAGTTTTGTATATTAAGTACATATACTAATAGTGGATAAGCATACAATAAGGTTTTAACTGACAGTACGTGTATAATCGATGATATCATATTTTGACAGTTAACAAAAATAAATAAAGGGTATATAAATTTAAATAAAAAATATCTAAGAAAACTAATGAAATAAACAAAGCACATTAGTATAAACCTAATTAATATACGTACTGACAACAACTTCACACACCAATGTAATATTACTGCCTAGTGTCAGGGGGCCCACATACGGAGTGGTGATTTGTTCGCTTTTTTCATTATATATCCTCGGTATACCAGTAGGATCTGTAAAACACATACTGTTTTTCATAGAAAACTTCAAAATTAAAGCGTTTATTATTTTACATGTAAATTGACTCACCAATGCACTAGGTACTAGTGTGAGTTAACATGACATTTAAATAAAGGTAAGTAAATTTATTGACAAAGTGGGTTTCTTTGAAGTCATATTAGCGTTTTCAAAAAAACAGAGAAGGCCGTCTGGCTCGAAACCGAGGCCCTGCCGATGCTGATGATTTGCTGTTAGTTTCTAATTTTTATGAGATTTTTGTTACGTTTTGATGTTTTTTTTTGTTGATTGAAGTCTTTTAAAATATAACTCGGTAATTATGAGAATAAAACAAGATTTATTATCTTATTTTTAAGCAGATCTCTTCTTACATGGATATTAATTTTTTAAAGTGGAGTTTCCATGTTTATATTTTTATAAAGCCCATTTATTAGCGTAGAGTATAGAATTAAACATAAATATTTTTTTTGTTCATAAAAATAAATTATTTAAGTAAAGACCAAAAGTAGAATAATGGTAAAAATAACGATAAATGCGTTTTTCAAGAAAAAGTGAAAAATATAGCGAAATTATTCCGTTCTTCATTATTATTATATATTATATATCTTCTCACGATTATTATTATTATCTCTTTTTTTTTCTCAGCATAGCCGGTTATAATACTCAATACGGGCCTAGACCAAGTAATGAGTATGTGATGTGTGACCTATTCTTCTATGTTATCTTCGCAAAAAAGAATAGGTCACTACATCATCCTCAAAATTTCCTCACAAAATTTCCTCACAATGCGACATGTGTTAAGTATAGCGGCTTTTTGTAATTTTATGTATGTGTAGTCATTAATGTTCAATAATTTTAGGCTAGTATGAAGATGTTTTGGAATTACTCCGGTAGTTGAAATTACTATTGGTACGATGTAAACTTTTTCCTGTCTCCAAATTCTAGCCACTTCTTCCTTTAAATCTGCGTATTTATGTATTTTTTCTGTGATTGTTTTTGTTATATTGTGTGTGTTAGGGATTGCTATATCAATTCAATATGTGGTTTTATTCTGTTTGTCTGGTAATGTGATGTCAGGCGTATTGCAGTGAATAGTTCTGTCAGTAAGGATAGCTCTATCATAATCAATTTTGTAGTTGAAGTTTTCTAATATGGTACTAGGCTTATATTCATAGTATGGTGTATGATCATTATTTATGAGGTTGTGTTGAGTGGCTAGAGTTTGGTGAATGATTTTAGCTATTTGATTGTGTCTGTGGGTGTAATCGGTTTGTGTGAGGTGAGGACATGCACCAGTAATATGCTGAATAGTCTCAGAATGAATGCGGAATTTTCGACACTTGTCATCTGTAGCTGTGGGATCTTTGATTATGTATTTTCTGTAGTTTTTGGTGTTGATGATTTGGTCCTGAATTGCGATAATAAAACCTTCTGTTTCTGGAAATAAGGAGCCTATTTTTAACCATTTGTTTGATGCGTCTTTATCTATAAATGGTTGTTGAAGATCACTATAATGTCGTCCATGCAGCACCTTCTTGCTCCATTGTTCATTTGTTATTACTTCTGTGTTTGAAACTGTGTTTGGTGGGTGATTATCTGTGTTAACATTACGTAGATTTAACGGTGTATAATTAAAATCATTTTCTAAGATTGTTTTATGAAGTAGGCTAGTATTAGATTTTAGCAAGAAAAAGTATTGCAATCTGGAGATCTGCTTTCGCCATAAATTGTGTAAATAAATAAGACCCCTACCCCCATTCTGTCTTTTGATGGTAAGTCTTTCTATTGCTGATTTTGGATGGTGATGGTTATTTTTTGTAAGTATACATGGAGTAATTCTTTCAATTGAACCTATATCAGTTTTACTCCAGTTTATGACACCAAACGAGTATGTAAGCACAGGTATAGCATGGGTGTTGATTGCTTTTATTAGGTATTTCCCGGTTAATCGGCTTTTGCAGATGTTTGTTACTCTTCTTTTGTATTCACTAAGAAGATTTTGTTTTATTTGCATGTGGTCTAAACCTTTAAGTTGATTATATCCCAAGTACTTATAAACATCATTCGATTCCATCGCTGTTATTATTTGGGTTGTTGGGTCATTTTGATCTATCGAGTAGTCACCGCTGCAAATTTTGCCCTTTATTATTATTATTATTACTGTGTTATTTGCAATTTTGCGAAAATCAATAGTTAGTAAAACCACCAATGTCGTTAACAACGGTCCTGCAATGATTTGTCATGCTTCTAATCAACTTATCAAAGTCTTCCTGCGAGATATTGTCCCAGGTCCTGGAAAGATGCAAAAAAGTTGCTCTTCAGTGACAATGTTTGTAGGTAAATTCCTCAAACCCCTTCTTTGGAGCATGTCCCACGCGTGTTCTATGTGGTTTAGGTCTGGTGATTGGGCGGGCCAGTCTAAGACCGATTACATCGTGCTCCTGCAGCCAGCTGGTGACCACTCGAGCTGTGTGGGGATGAGCATTGTCGTGCATGAGCTTGAATTCATGGGCTTGGATGGACTTCCTGAGGGTATTGTTGCAGGCGGCTCTCACGACCAGGAGTTCGCCATACGCGTACTCTTCGCGAATTAGGATGGAAACCGAATTGGGACTCATCGATAAACAGCACTACAGACAACTGGCTACCTTCCCAGAGCCAATGTTCACGAGCCCACTGTAATCTTCTTCTACGATTTTCTCGGAGTAGTGCAGGAGTACGAAGTGGTCTGCGAGTATGAAGATTAGCTTCATGCAGTCTTCTCCGCACAGATTGGTTACTCACAAGCATCTGATGCTTTGACTGGAGCCTTTGAACCAACTACACGGACATTTGGTTGCCTTCTCGCAGCAATTTGAAAAATCGGTCTTGTTGTTGGGTGGTTATGCGCTTCTCGCCTAGGTGTGTTTCAGCCACTTCACCAGTATCACGATTACGTAACCATAACCGCGATATCATGTTTTGTTTTGTTCCGATGTCCTCAGAAATACTCCGTTGAGTAGCAGCTTGGAGCATGCCTACGGCCCTTAACATTTCCTCCCTTGTTAAATGGCGTCGCTGCGTAATGCATACAGTAGCACAAATTCAAATTAAACAGCTAACTTGTTTTAAAAACTTTCGATTAACACCAAAAAACATCAAAAACTGTGGAAGGTAAATTGAAAACTTTGCCTGAATTATGCCGCGATCTTTTTTAAATATCTTTTTTTTTATTCAAATTTGGAATCATCAAAAAAGGCGTACAAAATAAGTTTTCATGGAAAGATTTTAGAACCGGCCAGTATATTTTGGATTTAGAATTTTATACAAAATGTCCCTAGACAATGATGATGTGGGTGTGAATTCATGTGTATATAATCAGGAGGTTTTTACTATAGATTCAAAACAGGCTAGTGTATACTAAAATATATTATTTTAGATTATCAAATATTTCTATTTCACTCATATTCATCTTAACTGACGTCAATTAAATTGACTGATTGTTAGTTAGTATAAAAGAAGTAATCGATCAAAGTCGTAATATTAATTGCTGAATTTCGTGTCCTTTTTTAAAAGTCCCAGTACTTTCTTTTAGCATTTCTTTTCATCCGCTTCTGTCTTATATTTCTCTTCGACGTCACGAAAAGAATGGTGTCGTCTGCATATCTCACGTTACTGATTCCTTACTCCCTATCAAAATGTCTCCCTTAATCCTCCAACGCCCGTCTTATCATATATGTTAAAAAGGATGGGACACAAGAAAAATCCCTGTAGTACACGTTTGCTAGGCCTAAATTTAGTCACTATAATCCTAGACGTTCCTAATTCAAAAAGTTCGCAATCAGTATTATCAAATGGATGAGTACATCCACCTCCACAAGAATCTTCCACAAATATTCCCACTGGACACAATCAAACGCCTTATATTGGTCAATAAATTACATCATCATTGAAACCTCCAATTCCATGCTCTTTTAAATGTTCTGTGTTATATTCACAATCTGATCCTTTGTGACACTACCTTTTACAAATCAAACTTGCTCACTTAGCATCTGATTTGAGTTTCTCAATAACTATGTACAGCATGAGTTTGCTGGCGTGAGATATTAAAGTCATGTCCATTAGTTTCTAAATATCTGAGTAGAACCTTTCTTATGTAGAAGGAGAACTAGGGACTCCTTTTATACAGTAGACCACTTGGATGTTTACCATACTCGATCACACAACAGTCTTTTAACTTCTTTATCACAAAGATTTTTTTTAAATTCACCAGTGAATACTCTACGTCTCTTCCGGCTGATTGGTTCTTTCAACCTATTCTTTTATAAAAAAACACAAGGTATGTGTTCTTTAGCAACCAACCACCCCTCCCTTTAAAGGGCAGGTTAAGTGTGGCTGGTAATAAGTCCGATATCCTGTAAGAAGGACCCGGTCGGGCTAATCCTTACCTATGACTGAATAAGGTCAGATTTCAGAGAAATACTGACACTGCAATGAGATTTGATTCTTCCGGGCTGATTGTGTTCTTGTATATTTTTTTAAGAAACAGGTAGTTGGGTGATTATAATTTGAATTCACTAGCTCCAGTTAAATAACTGAATCGAATGATGAAGCAAATATAAATATATTTGCTAGAAAAAATATGAGACTTACTAACAATTTACTGAAAACGAGTTTCTGTCTGGGTCAAATCAATTACCACAGTAGGAATGTGAAGATTGTTGCCTTTCAGATTATTTCAATTGAGGATATATAATATGAACTCCAAATTTACGGTTCATTCACTTCGGTACCTAATTATATCACAGGTAAATGTCGCTTACACGTGTCGATAAAAGGGTCACATCAAAATGTATGCTGCGTGTAAAACCTACTACAAGAGCTTTCTAAAGCTTGATATTTCAGTATGTTATATATCACTTAGTACCCAGTGCAGAGGTCAGGTGCTGAAAAACCTGGTGGTGGCGTAAATATATCAGGTCTAAGACTAATATTTACTGATAGCTGTAATTTCAACCTTATTATCTTACCAACAATTTTCAAATCGATAACATAATCCACCGAGGAAGATCCTTGATAGTGGACTCTACATCTGTATTTTCCTGCGTCTTTATCGGTTACTTGAGGTAGAAAGAGAGAAGTATCATCGTAACAATGATTTCCGACACATGAAGTTCCGTATATATTATTAGGATTTAAGCTTCTGAAACATAATAATGTGCTTAAGTTTAGAAACAGTACGTTTCATTTTTTACGTTATTCAAGGCCCTTTTTTTCTATTTGAATCAATTAAGAGAACCGTGTTATAAATACATTAATTTTATCGACAAATAACCTAATCGATTATATAATAACTTGGTGGGAAGTATAAAATATTTTTCAAAGAGAACATCTCAACTAATAGAGATTATGTATAATCCAAAATTAATTGAATGTTAATAATCGTAAAGAAGAGGTTCTAACTGAATATAAATCCTAGACTTAATCTTATTAAATTTAGTAAAATATTTCTAAATTTAAGACAAAATCTTAATAAGTATTACGTTGCCAGGATATAAGTAGCTTAACATTTAAGTTGTTATTAAATTTTTTATTTGAATTTACGCCAGCTATTCTATTCTGAAAGTATTTGATAATAATCGTTGCTTGGAACAAAAATAATATAGTGAGACAGTAAAACTAGAATAGCGAGGCATATAACAAAATAATCTAACACCTGTGATCGAAATTTTATCTCAGAAAAATAATTTAATTATCAAGTGCATTTAGATTTTTGTCCTTACTTTATATCATTGTAGATGATGTGCACAAAAGTTATTAATACTGCACATTGAAAACAAAGCGGCACGATATACTTATTTTTACTTATACAATGCCATTTTAATATTCGTAGCTACTTACGACCTCCGCTTTTGCGCTATTTCGTTTCCTCTGAGTGGTTCACATGCCGATTTCAAAGTGTTATCATCTTTGAGGTACTTATTGGATTGATTCCCGGTCCAGTTTAAGTAGAAATTAAACTTTTCTATGTTGGATCGTATTCGGTTGTTGTGATACCTTTGTTGTTTCAAATACAAAGTAATACAAGTAACTACTTATGTTGGAATAATATGTAATTTTAATTACACGTGCCGCTTATGTATTCAATGGATGATGTATATCTTTCTCCCTCTACCTTTACGAAAATCACTAACTTTTGCCATGTATCCTCATTGGGGAACCGATATAGGAATTTCTCGTCATCTTTTAGCCACAACACGTAGGCATCTGGTCCATCCAAAAATATCTTTCCAAGTCCACAGGGCAGGTGAGCGTCATAATCCCTCACTGCACGCAAAGATCTCACTGCGGATCGAATATGCGAAGGTAAAAATATATATTCTGCAATCACATTTATTTAGAAACACATATCTTAACAGTCCGTTATTTGTATTTTACTAAAACAATAATATGAAAATCTTTATAAGCGGTAATGCTTACATGTAAAGGTAACGCGTACTTGCAAAGGTACACCACCAACTAACATTTTAATAGGTGAATCGACTACCTCAAGACATTATGCAAACCAATAGCTTTAATAAGAACTTTTTATCAAACCAATGATTTAATTTTATCACAGTTTTCTCCATATATTCTGACTATTCAGAAAAGTAAAAGAAATAAAATCATTGATTAAAGATATGCATTGAAAAAAATGAAAACATTAAAATATTGTTAGATTTCTTTGATTTAAGCGGCCAAGAATTCGGTGATAATGTTACCTGTAAACTGTTTACAATCATTTTTAAACGCTATCAAAATGGCGACTCGTGAATTATCTGGAAACATCTTTTAATATTAATTATAAAGTTCTTATCTAAGATTTGAATCTCCCAAGTATCGTCTTTAGAAATGTATACATTATTAAAGAAAAATAAAGTATGTGTATCTTATTTATTTTCTTGTAACAAAAACAATGTGTTTCGAGTTCGGCTTAAAGACTTATCAATCAACAAAACTTACTTACCAAACAAAACTCGCAAAGTATTCGTTTATTGTGTACCTGTGTTCGTGTATAAAAAGTTTTGTGACATCGTTGTACAAACATTAATAATTGGAAGATGATATCCAGTTTAAATTATAATACCATGCCATTAGCGTGTGTCTGACTTTTCTATTCTTATAAACGTCATGCAAACGCCAATTGAAGAGCTTGATATTGTTATACAATGTACGTAATGTTATAATTTTTGAAGTCCCGTAGTGAAAATCAATGTTATAGGTATGTTACGGCATGTAATGTTATTCTTAAGCTTCAAAATTAGCGTTTACATTTTAACGAAAATTATTGTATTTAGCTACAACGACAGACATATGTATGAAGACTACTCTATTACAAATTAATTATATTAAACACATAAAGCTTAATACATTCTGGCTTAAACGGTTTTTTTTTTCAATTTTAATTATTACAACAAACATGACAATAGAAATAACAGAGAACACAGAAAATACACCACATGAAAATGTGCAATTATAAATATTTATTTTATGATTACTACTGGAATTGAAAAGATTGAAAAAGAAAACGGGTAATCGGCTATAAGTAACGAAAATTACGAGCTATAATAGACTAAATGTTTATAGAATTGCAGTATCTGAACCTTAAAAGCTATCCGAGTTTATTTCATGAACTGAAATAATATTTAGGAAGCTATTAAGAATCACAACCCCCAAGACTTTTGACACAATGACCAGACTTCAAATATAATCATATTTAAAGTTGTAGGAATTTAAGTGATATCAAAAATATTTGATTATGAGAAGAGAGAAAACTCTTTTTATTTGAAAGCGCTTTTATGTGATTTATGGCTGGTCTTTCCAAAGGCCTTTATTTATAGAAATTCCACTTCATTTCCATCATTAAGTTGAATTCACCTTTGAACGTCGTTGATTTTAATAGCATGTCCTCCTTCTTGCTTGTATGGAAAGAAAGAAAGAAAAGAGTGACCACACGATTGATGGCCATACCCACGGCGGCAACAGTCACGGCCACACGGAAAGCCAACATCTTCACTCTGAAACAAACGAGAATATAAGTAAATGTGAAAAGTCACATTATCTCATTCATATCACCTACACAGTGACAGTAGTCAGCACACTGTCCTCATGCGTTTGTAAATAGATTAATAAGAAAGTATAAGATTGGGAAATAAACGATTATAAGCTGCACCAACGTATATATGTCGCAGCCAAGTGGTATTATCAGCCGACCAATTGGGCGGCTAACTCAATAATCTAATTGCGCCATTCAATCAAAAGGCTGTCTTTCTATCGGCCGAGTACCTGAACGCATTACTCTCCAATATGGCTCAACAGCTCACCGGGAATATCGATATTTATTGTTAGTATTAGAAGTATAACGAAATATACACTGTAGTGGATGATATGTGATTTTATATAATACTCAATAACAGGACTGATCAAATGATAATAACAAATTGCTTATTCGCGATTGGGTGTTGATGGTCTGTAATATCTAAAACTGGAAACTAACATACACAACCATAACGCAAGCGGGTTAAACTTAAACTTTCACAATAAATTCTTAATATTATTACAATTATACAAAGACATATAATTTTATTACATATACCTCGATCTATTGAAAGCTGAGCAAGCAATGTGTTTGAGTGCGATTGTATTAGAATGTATATTGCGATTTCAAAGTTTGGTGCTACAATAGTTAATAACAACATGAAATGATAAACAAAGAAATTATTCTGATTCTGTAGGTAACGTGATAGGATAGAAATTTAGTCTGAAATTGAAAGAGGTCATTTTTTTTAACAGACTAAATGAACGTTTTGGCTGTTAAATCAGACGTCTTGTTGAAAGGTTCAAATATAATAATGATTCAACTAGATAACTAGGCGTGCAATTGAATAGCGCCATCCAATTTAATAGCTAGACGCCCAATTGACTTTTTAGACCTGTTGACTGCGATATAAATTTATACATAAAGCCGTACGCACTTTTATGTATTTCACTTATATGTGACCGAGTATCGCTTCTTAATGGGGGCGAACCGCGAATAAGCCTATGGGCTATTTACGTATCGCCTACCATAGAGATACATCGATAGGAATAGTGAGTATATTCCTGCATTTAGACTACCCACAGTTTTTGTATACGGTGAACATAACGTTATTTTTTATTTTTCGTTAAAGTTATTTTGCATTGGCACAGGCGAACAAAGTCGCGAAAAGAAAAATAAGTTAACAAAATAAAAATAGGATTTAAAAGAGACTTTTTTTAAAAGAAACTTCAAAGTAAATACTGTTATTGATAATATAACAAAATTCTGTATCTGTTACTTAGAAAACGTTGTTGTTATTTAGAATGTAGAAATCACAAAGTAAAACTTTCATTACTTATGGAGCTCGATGTAACTACAAAAAGCATTTTCGATATCAACTCTAGATTTTTCTCAGGAGAGCATTGTTAACATGTTGTTTTAAGTTATAAAGTCGACATGAAGTTAGAATAAACATGAGTATGATAAGTAGCTTGAGAAAAGAACTGACAATGATATTTCATACATTGAATATTAGTGATAATTAGATATCACTAATAATTATAATTGATAACAAGAAGTTGTCAAAGGCAGCTTATTAACTATTTATAAAAACTTTATAAACAATATTCTTATTAAAATATCACAAACTTTGAAGAAAAACATAATTTGGCCTTACTTTTTTTAATATGAAGTAGCGACACGGCCGAACATCATAAATTCACACCGAAATGCAATGCGTGTCTTACGTATATAAAGAGTTGGAATCCAAAAAGACTTAAAAGTTATTAGTCGTTGCAAATGCCTCAATAAATAGGAAGTTTATTTTTTATTTTATTCCATTATTATAATAATGCTGCTTATTAATATCCTCAATGAAAAAGCCTTCCCTACGGATAGAAATGATTTTCACACAGGCCCAACTCAGATTGGTAAATATTAACGACGCCAGATGCATCCGGAACCAACTTAAGGAGTACAATTGGTGAATGTATGAGCGTTTAGGGTAGAACGTCTTCAGAGAGAGAACCGTCAAAATTAAAGACATAGCAGCGGAGGTTCCTGACTGAACGTTTACACCTCATCTCCAGTAAGAAGATCGAAGGGGGCGAAGACGGGCAGACCAGACGGGGAGACCAGTGGGTTTCGGAAACAATTGTACAAGCTATTGGGCTTTTGACCTCATCAAAGTCAAGATGTCGTGATTACATCTGATTTTAAAAATCTCGCCTGCTTCCTGTCTGTAATTTCCTCTGGTCCATCCTCCTTAACCACCTATATGGAAGGCCGGAACCCCTGCAGTGGGGACGTAAAAGGACTGATGGTGATGAGTGTGTAGGTATAGGACCCAGTTGTACAATATCCACCTGATGTTTGGAAACCATTTAAGGTAATGTGTCAAACGGATAAATTGGACGGAATTTAATCTAATTGAATTTAAACTAACGGCGTAAAGAAGAGGAAACTCGAATACCTATCTGGATCGTATTATGAAAAGCCAAAAGCACAGATTCACATAAACTCTTCAAAAGTAAGAGTTTTTACAATTAATCATCCAAGCAAGTAAAGTGAAGTGTAAGCAGAAGAAGAATGCAATGACTTAAGAATTTCCAACAAAGATTTAGAAAGAGTACTTCATCGATGCTTAGGGTAACTGTATCAAAGGTGGAAATTGCCATATTGTACTAGCGGATGAGACCCATAGAAGAAGAAGAAAAAGTGTGGAAATGAAACCATAAATTGTCTCTACGGTTCTTGGTCTAGGGAGTATAATAACTTACCGCCAGTTGCACTAACATCCATTAAAATTGTCATTAGTTCAAAGTGTATGTGTAGGTGCACAAACGGCCATTAAGGTTTCATGACGATTTTAAGCTCTAATCAATGCCAAATATTTAATTTCGCTTTAAACTAAGGACAACATAACATTTTAATGGACTTTTGTGCAACTGGACGATAACCTATCCAAATTTGACATTCATTAGAGCTAAAAGGCGTCATTAAACCCTAATGGATGTTTGTGCAACTAACCATTAGATTCATTGTTGACAAAAACATGGTGAGTACAAAATTTTTCGCTATCTACTAATTAGTTTTGTATGAAATACCGATATTTTCCAGAATTATATTTTTCAATATATCGGGTTGGCATGAAAGTAATGAGACACTTGGTTTAAGTTTTTCCTTTTTTATTATTATTACAATAAAAAAAGTTTAGTCAATGATGTAATTACCATTAGTATTTAAGACTTTTTGCCAACGATCCGGCAAAGTTTGGATGCCTTTTGCCCAGAAATCTGATGTGGTCCTGGCACGAACTCCGCCTCTACGTCAGAGAAATCATTAAATTGTTTACCCCGCAAATGCTGTTTCAGGGCTCTAAACAAATGATAGTCTGATGGGGCGAGGTCTGGGGAATAAGGTGGGTGGGGTATCGTCTCCCAGCCCAAGTTCTCCAACTGCCGGCGAACCACAGATGCGACTTTTGATTAGTTAAAAATTGTTAAGCGTATAGAAAATCACGCGAAACAGACTATTTTCATATACCCGAAAATCGAAATATTGGGTAATTATCTATAATTTATTTTTGTTTTCTTAATACCAAACCGCTTTCTGAATTCAACATATTTTCATAATTGTGTATGCACACAGACACTTTATTCGCAATTTCGCGTACATGTCCCATCTATGTGGTACTCAAATGAAATGAAACATATTCACCCAGCATTCCGTACTGGGCCCGCGTGTAGCTTCTAATGCTGATTGGAGCTGCTTAAGCACAGATAATCTTCATGGATGAAAACAATTTACCCAGCATTACTAACCGGGCCTGCCTTTAGGCCTTATTAAGTATTAATGGTGTTAAATCATAGATATTCTGAATAGATGAAATCAATCTTCCCAGAAGGAATGCTGGTCCCGCAATTTTACCACGCATCCGATTACCGACCTTTGCGATCGTCGCTTAACCTACGCAATCGCGGATCAAACGTTCCACTACACGAGCTTTTTATTTTGTATGCGTTATCATTTTTTTTTTATCAAATAGGATATAATTTTGATGATTTGATAATGTTTCACGTTGAGTACTCGTGCATGAGAGGTTCCGTAACTGATATTGCTTCTCAATGTTCTTCACTCGACGGCCCATGGAATTCGATGTCGAGGATACATGCAATTCGATGTCGAGGATATTTGTGACCGATATCGACTTGCGATTAACGGTAAACTTGCGATTCGATTTTATAATTCATGCTTGGTGCGATATCGCTCATCGATATCGATATCGCAACGAGCGACGAGTTTTTCGCAAAGTGGAGATTTTAAGTCAGGAATCAGTGCCTTAAAGAGTATCTTGAATTTATTAACTGCACTGGGGGCAACAGCAAGAATAAATAATTTCATTGAACAATGGAAACATTTATTCTTGTTTTAACAATTAAATGTTTTGTATTTGGGTATTAAATTTAATATGTTATTTTTTTCTTGACATTTCTATACATTTCATGTGTATTATAGAAATATAGAACCGATACTAAACTTTAAAAGTGGGATGTACTATATTTATCTATCTTTAATGCGTTTTTTTATTAATTAATTCTGTTGCAAACTTACTGATTTTTGACCTTAGTACTTGGATAACTAAGCCTTGCTCAGCATTTTTTTTGATAAATGATAAATGTTACCTAGCTGGTAACCTATCTTAATTTCGAAACTTTAATGTTCGAATTTCAAAACTCCGAAAACGGTATAACGAAGTTTTGAATACCAGATATGTTTTTTGACATAATATTCTATGTAATAAATTTATTTTACACATGTTTCATTTTCCAGAAAAATTAAAAGACGATTTTCAAAAGCTGTTTTTTCTTTTTACAGATGTATTACTTTCAATATTTTTTTATTCTAGATGTATGAAATATCGAAGTAATCCTATTTTTACTAACGCAGTTATTTATTTTTCAACATTATTTATTGACAAAAAAAAAACAAGT